GTATATGATAAAACGGTCAGCTAACAGACTGAACTGCATCTAACTACCTGGCAGGGAATGCGTTAAGAAATTCTGGATATAACTCTGCATGAAGAAAGAATAAAGGAAAATCAATAACAACAGTTGTGTCTTTAGTCTCAGGGAAAAGACCTCTTCAACTGAAGTCAAAATAACAACAAGTTCACTTACATTGCTCTGTTCAGAGATGTCAGTCACGTTTCTTTGTTACACATAATAATGAGAATATTACAGATAAACAAACTACAAACTCCGTGGCTTTAGTCCGCAAGCGAACTATACCAACTGATATTATAAAGAGGACAATAATATACTGTCACATGTATGTGTGTGACTATAGGTAGGATTTGGAATGGTGAATGGATGTCTTGACCACTTGTACACATGATTTGGAACTACAAGCAATTACAATGCTATCACTGACCTACACACTTTACAAATCACCACAGCACATGCTAAGCCTCAGTCTTTTATAGTCTTCCTTAATCATTACGTGGTAACAGCTCTCAGCAATCGAGATTCTACAGCTTCTGTGATCACAGTGTTGTCCAGTGGCTAATACTATTCACCTGAACTCATTACTCCAACTGTCCTGGTTATAATATTGTAAAGTGTTTGGAGTAGGTACTTCCATGGTAGCGCAATAACAGTAAGCTGTTGCATGGAGAGTGCCGAAGCAACGAACGCGTCTCCCTGGAGCTGAATTACAGAGAGTTCATTGCATAACAGCAGACTGTTGAAATAGTAGAAACAGAACTGCAAGGAATCGTATCTGGTATCCGGTCCACATAACGCCTATATAAGCAGAGCTTACGACACGTACGAAAGAGACAGTTGGAATCCAGCCACGACCAAGGACAGTTGAGATGTCGCATTGATGTAGAAGCAGTAGTTGTGATACTGCAAGTGGTAATAATTGTAAGGTGTGTAAGAGTGAGTGTCCATAAAGATTAGCTAAATCCGAGACCCACGTGAAGTTATTTGTCACATAACATACCCAACACATCACAACTGGTGTCAGAAGTGGGATCAGTTCCGATTCTGAGACGAATTTGTAAGAGTTATTAGACTAACACCACCTCGAGTGTTATAACATCACACGAGCTAGAATGGACATAAAACAGATGATGGAATGTCTGTTAGCTGGCCAAGAACAAATGATGGCAAAGGCAGATGCCAGACATGAGGAAATGCTGGGCATGCAAGAAGAGATTAGAACCAACCAGACCAAGGTGGACACCGGTCCCAAAGAGTTGCTGGTCGGTTGGAAAGCCTTTAGAGAAGAGATGGCAGCCATGCGAGAAAAGAGGGATGCCGATACGAAAGCCTGGGAAGAAAGAGTTGCCGCCGTATGAAAAGAAAGGATAACCTTCAGGCCAGAAGAGATGGGCGCCAATATGAAAGCCTGGCTAGAAGAGACTGCCACCACGCGAGACAAAATAATGGCCACCAGGCGAGAAATGATGGACGCCAGCCATAAGGAGATAGTGGCTGAAAGCACCCCTGAAATGGACATAAAGACGACGGCCTGCCAAGAGATGGAAAATTGGCACAGCAAAAGCAGGAAACCGACAAGATGTCCCATCGCACAACAGTGGCATGACGCATGAGAGACATCTTCAGGCCGAACACGAGCTGCCGTGCGAAAGTGGCATGAAAACACAAACCGACTGGAAGGTATCCCATTGCGCAACAGTAGCATGACACAGGAGAGATGCCTTCCAGAAGGAAACTACTCAGGAAACTTTCGGATCCCAGAGAAAGGAACTGACCATTGACAATTGTCTACATCATCTCCGCAAGCAACCTTATGATGAGTCTCAACCATTGCGGGGTGACCGTAGCAGCAAAGAGAAACCAGCAGTGGGCACTGTTGCGCCACAGCCTCATACCAGCAAGTGGCGGGAAGATCAGGAGGAACGATGATGTCAGCAAGTGCAGACCACACCTCAAGTGCTGTTACATCGACATAAAGAACTTATCAAGGAAGACATGATCAAGGATTGCACACTGTGGAGGAGCTGACCACCCCCAAAATGGAAAAAGGAAAGAAACAGCATAAAGGAGGAACCGCTAACGTAGAAAAACCGGCCTCCCCATCAAAGATGAATGAGGAGAGAATGAAAGTGACGAATGAATGTGAGACGACAGAATCAACAACCACTGGACCATGGAAGTGCTCCGGGCGAGCACTCTGGAAGAAGGGGGGCAGGTGGAAGAATTGAACATCAGAACAAAAGTAGGGCGGAGGTACCGGAAGGAAGGTGAACACCCGGAAGAAAGAGGAAGAACCGTTAGACTGTTCAGGGATGAACAACCTTTAGAAGGGAGCAATGTAACGTGTTTGGAGTAGATACTTCCGTGGTAGCGCAATAACAGTGAGCCGTTCCATGGAGAGTGCCAAAGCAACAAATGCATCTCCCTGAAGATGAACTACAGAGAGTTCATTGTGTAACAGCGGACTGTCAAAATAGTAGAAATGGAACTGTGAGGAATGGTGTCTGGTATCCGGTCCGCATAATGCCTATATAAGAAGAGCTTACAACAAGTACGAAAGAAACAGTTGGAATCCAGCCACGACCAAGGACAGTTGAGATGTTGCATTGAAGTAGCAGTAGTTGTGATACCACAAGTGGCAATAATTGTAAGGTGCGTAAGAGTGAGTGTCCAATAAAGATTTGCTAAATCCGAGACCCACGTGAAGTTATTTGTCACGTGACAATATATATAATATCTTGGCAGAGACCACATAGAAAAACCATTCTTCTATTGTCACATTGATGTCTGCTGCAGTGAGAACATGTTTACCGAGTCACTGCCTAGAAAAGGCTGTAGCGCAAACCACAGAAAACACTGTTCTTCTATTGCATGTATGATGTAGGCATTACCTTGCAATGGCTGCTGTTTACAGAATCACCATTTAGCAACGGATCTATACTTAATAATATACCACAGATGACTGAATAATATCAATACCAAATATATAAACTTTGTGATAAGGCAACGTGTAATTCATTCACCTACAAATAAAAGACCATATGATATACAGGGTGATTCACTAAGTTTTATCTCCACTTAGGGAGGGCATTCCTGAGGTAATTTGGAACAAAAAATTTTAATATACTAATGGTATCCAATTCATAATTAAAGAGATACAGTAATTTGAAAACTGGTGAAAAATCTTTCTTTTTTTTTTTTTTTCGAATTTCAGTCAAAACAAATTAGAAATACAATACAAACACTTTTTAAATCGTTAATGTTTTAGGAAAGAAGCATTCTAAAACCAATTTTTTTTTCAATTTCTTAATTTTTAATTGTGCAACATTTTTCATTGATTTTATGTTACAAAATTACATTATTTTCAGCATCCCATTCTGTAAACATACCAATGGTTGCATATCACACCCTTCTATCAATCTGTTTCCTTTAAACTGCAGTGCTCTAAAAGATGACTGGATTTACATAAGATTTTCAAAAATGTCTCCCTGCATGTCAACACAATGCATCGCACGCATATGAACTGCGCTCGTAGCATTTTGCAGTTCCACACGTTTGTTCCTTATTGTCATCGCCACGTCCAGAATACGTTCAAGCAACGCTCCACGTGTTTGTACCTTTACCTGGTACACAATGTCCTTCATCAAGCCCCAAATGCAATAATCTAACGGAGTTAGATCTGGTGACCTGGGAGGCCAGGCGTTACGGCCTCCGAGACCAATCCACCGCTGTGGGAAATGCCGATCCAAGTGAGCTGCTACTGCATGGGAGAAGTGAGGAGGCGCTCCATCATGCTGAAAGCACATCCGGCGTCTTGTTGTCAGAGGAACATCTTCAGGTAACTGTGGTAATTCTTCTTCTAAGAAGTGGATGTAAATCTCACCAGTTAAGCGGCCAGGAAAAATGAACAGCCTGATTAGCTGATCATACAGAACATCACACCAGACACTGACACTGAATCGGTGTTGAAAATTTGATTCTATCATGGCATGGGGACTACTGTCTGCCCAAACATGTAAGTTGTGACTGTTGTTGACCCCATCCTGTGTAAACTGTGCCTCATCGCAAAACATTATCAAGCAGTACAACTGCCAATTTCCATTTAACCAGTTGCAAAGCTGCAGATGAAAAGACGGTCTCCTGGTTGTAGGTGTTGTACTTGCTGTAAATGATAAGGATGCAGCCCGTTCTCATGAAGAGTCCTCCACGCCATGGACTGAGAAACACCGAACCGCTGAGCTAGACGTCTTGTACTGGCACGTGGACTGTGCTCTACAGCATCGAGAATGTTTTCTTCTTCGCACAATTCATGTTGAGGATTTTGTTCATATTGTATATGAACGCTGGGGAGAGAACCAGTTTGTCTTAATGTGTTAAATGTACTGGTAATGGATTTAGGATTTGGAATCCTGTTATTAAGATAATGCTGGTGATATTCGGCAGCAGCGGCTTTCGTATTTCCATCACATACACCCAAAACAAACACTATATTGGCGTATTCCTCAGTGGAAAATGTGTATGGCATCTTAACTTCACAAAGTCACCAACACAATGTCCTGTTCACTACTGGATTGCTCTGCCTAGGATCGCACAACATTCCAGCAGGTCTGCCTTATCTGCTGACACAGCTGACTGGAACGCAAGGTCACCCAGGAGGGGAGCAGAGCGCTGTATTCGCAATGATGCGTTTTGAAAACCTATTGTTACTCGGTAACTACTGAAAATCGACCACAAGTTTATAAAGAAATTTTGCAGGAAATAACCCCAGGAATATGTACCATAAGCCGCATGAATCACCCTGTATATCACATGCTGTGTAACATAAGGTGAAAGAGGGATCAACAATAAAACAGCACATAGCCATATAAAATAGCAGTGAAACTGGAAGGAAAGAATTCTCAGTGTTATAAGCAAGGAAATACTTGTGAACAAACATCCCACAGCTTGAATTCATAACAGATGTTTGTGATGCAGAACAGACTTACTTCATGTAATGTGCTTTCTCCAGCATCCACAGGTCCAATAATGTGGGAAATATTGATGATTGTTGGAAGATGAGGCTTCTCCAGCCCAGATGAAATTTCCTTTTCTTGGGATTTTTTATTTGAATCACTCTAAACAATATGAAAAGAAACATTTCTCACATCAATTTCTTCAAGTTTTACAGTCACAAAACAACTTGACAGGTATGTCTAGTGATTATCATTTTTGTCAATTAGCTGTCCATAGATCAGTAGATAACATGATAAATTCGTTAAAATAAGAATACACTGTCATGGGAAAGAGCAGCTATTTATGCATGGTATATTATGCTTGAAATAAACATGTATAATATATCACTCCCAATTACTCAGTAAAGACAAACATCAATTCAAACAGTTACTGATACTATGAAAGGTCTTAAGTTAAACTAAAATTTGTACCATGATACTCATGAAAGGACTGTCATGATGAACATGCATGAGACAAAAGAAAATAACTGACAATTACAGCAATTAGCTCAGTAACCTGAGCAATGAATTTATCAGGAATAACATACATACACATTTTTTTTTACTAGATGCAATAAAAGGCATCACAACTAGAACTGTCAAACTGTTATATAAAAAAAGTGATAAGCACATATCCCAACATAAGAATCTGATATGAAACTAGAATACAAAGAATGGCGATTTTCTCTATTATCAAAAAGTTTAATTTGAAACAGAGATAATCATCATTATTTATAGGGTATGCACGAGTCTCAAATTTTTTAGATTAAATTGTGAAAAATTTCTCTATCTCGATATGAACATTAATTTTTAATTCTTGAACTTTGAGCATTTGCAGGTAACTTCTTTTGTTCTGTACATTTGGGTCATGACAAACGGAGTTGGTATCATATTTGTCCAAACAGTTACAGAACTATGGGTTGTCACCATGAATTCAAATTTTTGTACATATATGTATATAGATACTTTTAATCTGCTGTAAACTTTTGGCATCTTCATGACATAGTTTGTGCAATGGTCACTAGTTAGTGTGGGAACTGCCCACATCATTGCTTAGCAACGGCGAATAAACAGCTGTTGCTAAGCAATGATACTTGCGTTGTCACATTTGCTTGAATGTGGGCAGTTCCCACATTAGCATTATCCTAGTAACAAGCAAGAAAGCAAGCGAGACAGAAATATTCTTCAAGATCAGAAGCCATGACCTGCCATGAGGTTGCCTGAAGAACCATCAAAGTTATGAAACAAAAGCACCAATTCACTGATTTATATCATCACCAGAATCTGCTTTAACAGATCGATGATCAACATAAAAAGCCAAATAATTTCAAGAAAAGAGATACTGGCGTGAAATGGAATACTGTGTCAGAAAGTATCAGGCATTGCAGTTACAGTTTGGACATTAGGACTAGGTTCATTAATTACGCAGACACACACCTGTGAGGTAGCAAGAAGAGACACTGTTTCTTGAGGCAAACATCTGAGGGTGGAAAACAAAAACCAGAATGTATGACAATTCTATAAAAAAATTGTTGTTTGTACAGATTCAAAGACAGAAAGGAAAGTCAGTTTCATGCAACATCACTACTCTACAAAAAACTGAAATTTTAACACACACCTGTGAGGTAGCAAGAAAAGACACTGTTTCTTGAGGCAAACATTTGAAGGCGGAAACCATAAAAAACAGATTGTATGCCAATTCTACACAAAAAAAAAATGTTGTTTGTATAGATTCAAAGACAGAATGAAGAGTCAGCTTCATGCAATATCATTACTCTACAAGAGGTTGAAATTTTAAGTCCAGCTCAGGGTGTGTGTATAAACAAGATGGGGAAACAGATTTTCTTTACAGTGACAATATTCAATTGCAACATCTTACAACTAAAATCTGAGACACTGCCAATGAAATTCCAGCGTATCTTTGATATGCTATCCAACTACATCATCAATGATGTAGGTGCAAAATCTGTTGTCATAAAAACATCAGGCAATGTAAACATGCAAGTTGGCAGACAGCACAAAACCATCGCATGTTACAATGAACTGAAAAACTATGTCTAGAGCACAGCTACCTGTGGGGCTAATAATCATATGTCAAACAAAGGATGGATGACTAACTGAGCTGACAGGCGACTGGTTACAAGCTGTCTCAGACAGGGGATCAGGAGTATTACTGAGGAGGGACGAAGAATTTGAGGTTTACACAGTGATGTTTATGAAACAGAGTTGTGTCTTCTGGGGCATAAAGCTGCATGATATGTTGAAAGCCTAACATCTTGTGAAACCCAAAGGTTCATTACCATGTTCGCAAGAGCCCACCACTGGTCCCTATCCTGAGTCATATGAATCCAGTCCATACCACCTCTAAGCATTCCTCTTCCCTCCCTGGAATCCTACATGCCTTGCACATCTCTTCCTTATTGACTTGATCATTCTAATTATATTTGGTGAGCAGTACAAGTAGTTATGAAGCAGCTCATTAGTACACAATTTTCTGCAGTCTCCTATTATTTCATCCCTTTTCAATCGAAAACCTTACTCATTGCATTCCTCTTGCACCTTTCACTAATCACCACATATAATCCTTGTAATAACAATCACAGAGATAACAGAAGAACAAACCTGAGGTTTTGGACTGCTGTGGTTTCTATGTCTGTTACTAGGGTATGATTCATTCTTATGCTCTGCAACATGGGCCATGTAGTTGTCTTTACGCACTGATCGGAAAGAACATAAATCACAGTTAAACATCAACCCAGTCTCCAGACCTGTAAAGGAAATATAAAGAATTAGCCATATGTAAAATCAATAAGAAAGAAAAGCATATACATGGGTTGGACAAAAAAATGGAAACACTAAATATACTGTATACATTTCTTTATTAATATGGTGTTGGGCCACCTTGTGTCTTCAATAGCCACAAATCCTTCTTGGAATTGACTCATACAAGTTTTGAACAGTCTCTGGTGGAATTTAATATGATTCTTCTTAAAGACCATCTTCAAGTTGCTTTAGAGATGTTGGGGGTGGGAATCTTTTCCTCATTCTAGTCTACAAAACTAAACAGAATGGTCAATGATGTTCACATTTGGTGATTGTGCTGGCCAGGGAAGGGCACTTCACCTTCATGCTCTTCAAACCATGTCTGAAAAGTTCCAGCTGTGTGAATGGGGGCATTGTTGTCTTACAAACCCACATTGTTGCTTGGAAATAACGTCTGGATCATGGGATGCCCCTGATCACCCAACCTGTTCATGTACTCCCTTACAGTAATTCGACCATGAAGGGTAATAATGGGACCAACAAAATACTGCTGCCCAAATCATCACAGAAACCTGCCCCCCCCCACAACTTTTTCACTGTTAGATCTAGACATTCTGGATTGTAGGCTTCCTGGGGTGTTCTCCAAATGTAAATGTAAACTCTTCCTGATGTAGGGAACAGCATGAAGGATGACTCATCAAGCCATATCATGTTTCCAGTTGTCTGGCATCCAGCTTGTATGGTTATGACACCACAGTTTACACATGTGAGCATTACTTTCAGCAATCAGGTGTTAGGTGGGTCACCAAAGCATGGCGTGCCCTCAGGTTGCGGATGCAGGAGATGCCCACCAGTTATGGAGGGTAGCTGCAAATATATTGAATAAGCAGTCGCAGAGAGTCGAAAAGGGTTGGTTCTTCAGTTTGGGGGTACAGCATGGGGCTAACAACTCCTCATGGTAAAAAAATCTTGTTACAAAAATGTTCAAAAAGCCTTAGACCTTGATGGATTCTGTGGATAAACGACCTAAGCGAAAGAAAATGCATGGGAGATTTGGTACTTGGAATGTTAGAAGTATGTATAGGACAGATTCGTTCAGGGTAGTGGCAAAAGAAATAAAAAAAATATAAGTTAGATTTAGTGGGAGTACAGGAGGTCAGATGGGACAGAGGTGGCACCGAACCAGCAGGCGAATATACTTTTTTCTATGGAAAGGGGAATGGGAATCGTGAACTAGGTACAGGTTTTTCATACATAAGAGAATCATATCAGCAGTTTACAGGGTAGAGGTTGTTAGTGATGTCATACATAGTACTAAGAGGTCACTGGTATGATATCATCGTTCTGAATGTTCATGCCCCAAAAGAAGATAAAATTGATGACATAAAAGACAGGTTCTATGAAGAACTAGAACAAGTACTTGAGGAATTTCTGAAATGTCATATGAAAATTCTGTTGGGAGATTTCAATGCCAAAGTAGGTAGGGAAGTCATTTTCAAACCAACAATTGGGAATGAGAGTTTACAAGAAATTAGTAATGATAATGGAGTTAGAGTGGTAAACTTTACTTACTTACTCATGGAGCTGAGCCCTTCTGCAGCTAGTCAAGATTTTCCCAGCATTTTATGGAACCCGATGGTGCACCGTGTTCATAAGGGCCCTCCACTGGTCCCTATCCTGAGCCAGATCTATCCAATCAATACCATCCCATCCTATCTCTCTAAGATCCATTCTAATATTGTCCACCCACCTACACCTTGGTCTTCCCTGTGGTTTCTTTCCTTCTGGCTTCCCTACCAATATCCTATATGCATTCCTCGTCTCCCTCATTCATGCTACATGATCTTCCCACCTCATCCTCCTTGACTTGATCATTCTAATTATACTTGGAGAAGAGTACAAGTTATGAAGCTCCTCATTATGCAGTTTTCTCCACCCTCCTGTTACTTCATCTCTCTTCAGTTAGTAAACTTTGCCATATCCAAAAATCTTACTGTCAAAAGTACGATGTTCCCATATCATAACATGCATAAATTTACTTAAGACATCTCCTGATGGGAAGACGCACAACTGAATTGACCATATTTTGATAGACTGGAGATGGCATTCAAGTATACTTGATGTTTGATAACTCAGGGCAGCAGATTGTGATACTGAGGACTATTTGGTTAGGGAAAGACTGGCAGGGAATAAACAAACAAGGCACACAGTTCACATGAAGAGGTTCAAGCTCAAGAAAATAAATGAGGTAGAGGGTAGGGAGCAGTATCATATTGAAATCTCAAATAGATTCACAGCTTTGGAAAACTTAGATACTGAAGTGGATGTTAATAAAGTTTGGGAAATTATTAGAGAGAGTAACAATATTTCTGCCAAAGAGAGTATAGGTAATTATGAACTGAAGAAGCATAAGCTGTGGTTCAATGAAGGATGCTCAAAATTATTAGACCAAAGGAAACAAGCCAAATTGCAGTGGCTACATGAACCAAGCAAAATAAATGGGGATAATCTGAACAATATAAGATGTGAAACCAACAGGCATTTCAGGAATAAAAAGAAGGAATATCTGAAAGACAAAATTGATGAGCTTGCAATGAACAGTAAAAACAAAAACTTTAAGAGACTAGTACAGGGGAATAAATGACTTCAAGGGAGGTTACCAACCTAGAAGTAACTTAGTGAAAGATGAGAATAGTGATCTGCTTGCAAATTCCCACATTTTGAATTGGTGGAAGAACTACTTCTCTCAGTTATTGAATGTACATAGGATCAGTGATGTTAGGCAGATAGAAATGCATATAGCTGAGACGTTAGTACCTGATCCTAAACTTTTTCAAGTTAAAATTGCTATTGCAAAATGAAAAGGTATAAATTGGTGGGCAGTGATCAAATCCCAGCAGAATTTATTCAAGCAGAAGGTGACATATGGTGTTCTAAGATCCATAAGCTAATTAGTTCTATTTGGAATAAGGAAAAATTGCCATATCAGTGGAAGGAGTTTATTATTTTACCAGATCAAGGAGGCGGAGGTGGTGATAATGACAATGATGATAAGCATTCAAGGTTGGGAATGGTGATTGAAATTTTAGTTTGGCACATATGACTTGGCATAATTTTGCAAGCTCTAAATCTAATCACAATAGAAACAACATATGAAACTCACTCACCAGGGTGCTTTGTATTGAGGTGAGCTTTATATGTGCTGGACTGAATGCAGGCATAGGAACAGTGTGGACACTTGTAGGGTTTATCTCCTGAGTGGCGCATCTTGTGTCGTCGAAGAGAATTATGATCTGCTGTTGCGTACTCACATTCATCACAGTGGAAAGGTTTCTCACCTGTGCAAAGAAAATACTGAACTGAAAAAACCATTCAACAGAAATACAAATCATCAAGGGAATGTAGTTAAACATGTTTAAGGATTTTAATTTTTTCCTACTGACATTTTCCTTGAGGTCGAAGTGTCAATGGCATTAAATATTTATTTCAGCAGTTTTATAATTAAAGGGATTTACAGATTCAACACCCTATCCCTCCCCCCCACATGCCTGGAAGTATATGAGGAATGTTTTTTAAAACAAAATGTAGTTAGAAAACCACGATTTGGTGATGAAGGTCATAATATTCATGTTAAACGCATAACTAATTAGTTATGCGTTTAACATGAATATTATGAATGAATGAACATGAATTGATAATTTATGAATACATGTACATAATAAAGTGCACTTTTTGAATTATTTTTCAAGACACTTTCCAAAATCATATCTTGGATCTGCTATTGGCAGGCACAGACAGTCCACTGAAAGCAGCTTAACATATACAGTAGATTCTCAATTACTGGTGTACTAATTATCCAGTTTGCTGTTTATCTGTATGGCTTTTTCAGCTTGTATGCAAACCTATGGAGCATCTATTAGTCTGCTACGTCCATCAGTTTGGAATCATAAGACAATCACAGAACCACTAAAAAGATTTTCATAAAATTTGATATTGGAGAAGCTTATTAGAAACTGTCTAAGTTATTTCACTATTCATTTAGACTGAAAAATTTCTGTATGTATCTCAAGTGTAACAAACTATTTATCAGAATAAAAATGTGTCAGACAATTTGTAAGGAAAAATGTTGTTTGATATATATATTTTTCTTAAGTCCTACATCCGTCATCCTATCATTTAACACTATATGGAGCATCTATTAGTCTGCTACGTCCATCAGTCTGGAATCATAACATAATCACAGAACCACTAAAAAGATTTTCATAAAATTTGATATTGGAGAAGCTTATTAGAAACTGTCTAAGTTATTTCACTATTCATTTAGACTGAAAAATTTCTGTATGTATCTCAAGTGTAACAAACTATTTATCAGAATAAAAATGTGTCAGACAATTTGTAAGGAAAAATGTTGTTTGATATATATATTTTTCTTAAGTCCTACATCCGTCATCCTATTATTTAACACTATATAACTTAGACCAGTGATGAGTGACCTGTGACCTGTCTTAGATCACAATATGTCCCCTGATCTAAATTCAGGAACAAGAAACTAAAAATATTAAAGTTACTGAATAATCATCCTACAAAAACATAAAAATATTATTAAACTAATTTTACTTTCATGTTATTTTATAATACAATTTATAACTTTAAAATACCATATTCAAGAATAAGATGCACGTTTTATGTGATTATTCCCGTCAAAGTAATACAGCATTAAAATTTAATTAAAGCAAAAGTCATGGCTGTTATAAAAGTAAACCAACAGACTATCTGGCTCCATGGCCAGTTAAGTGTTTCTTGTTCCTCTGCCATGGCGGTATTTAATTCAGTATAAGTGTACCAACATTTCTATTTCATGTTTTCTAAATAAAATTTAAACCTCTGCTATGGCTGCAGCCAAGAAGAGACAAGAGGCTGAAGAAAACTGCGTGTTTCAAGGTAAGTGGATTGAGGAGCACTTCTCTGTTTCTGCTAAAGATGTTGCTGTTTGTCTCATTTGCAATGGAGAAATCTCTGGTTTCAAAGAACACAATATTAAGAGGCACTATGATAAAACATTTTAAGATCACATAGCTTACAAGTTCAGATAAAGAAAGACAAAACAAACCAGCTTTAAAAGTGTCTTACTCAACAACAAAATTTGTTCATAGGCACAGCATTACAGTCACACTCTAGCATGTGATAGTTATGTAGTATATGAAATTTTGGCCAAAAAAAAAAAAATAAGCCTTCCTGTGATGGGTATATAATAAAAGAATTTCAAACATTGTTGCAGATATTGCATTTCCTGATAAAAAAAGATGTAAGTAATTTCTAAAATTAATTTTTCACATTCACCACTGGATGAGGAATAGGAGATATTTTAAACACTGAAGAAAGTTAACCCGTTGCCGTGGTTCGACGTGTATGTTTCGTCAGGGATTNAGCAAAGTCCACCACTTTTTAATGGTTTTCTTTGGCAATGGACAAATACAGATGTGGGTCACATAGCGTGACTTGCTATTTTTGTTTGAGGAATAGACAGTTAATTCAATAAAAAAACTCCGTGGTCTGTAGTCCGCAAGCGAACTATACCGACCAAGACACCTCTGCTTGTCAGCGAAGTTACTGCCAACTTTAGCAGATAGAGGGTGTTGCGTGGTCAGCACAACAGATCCCCAGGGCCGTTAATCTCGGTTTTCTAGACTGGAGTGAATTCAATATAAATGAGAAATTAGCTGGCCTAAATGCCCAGGGATGGATAAAGGCCACGTCGTGTCTCTTGACAATTGACACTGGAGCATCAGTAATGACTGCCAGATCACTGCATCCATATGTTTGGCAGATGGCATCAGGGAAGCCCATCCCCATCCTGAATTAAGTGTTAGTAGAGCTGACACTGGGGTGGCACCCACTGATGACTTGAGTGCTCATAGCCAAAATTGCAGATAAGTTTATCCTGGTGCTGGATGTACCTATAGTAGTGTATGTCAAATGGAGATGAAGTAAAATGTTACAGTGAGGTTGTAAGAAATATTGACAAACATTATAAAATTTCAGTTTTCTCTGGTGATATTTTCTTCAGCACCATAATTTTATATTTGGTTCAAATTTTATCATAGATCTTCAAACATGGACAGCCTGATAACCACTTTATCTCTGAGCAGTCTATGCAACAAAGAAAATTATTGATCCCTGTATCAGAAAATCTCCCGATAAGAGATTGTGCTATCCATGAATAGTGAACACTCCTGCCAATATAATTTTTCTGTTTGTGTAATCCTCAAAATTATATCAGTTCTCCAGGTCATCGTTAACCCTTCAACGTGGCCATTTAAATATCGCTGTTGTGGGGCCTCCTGCGTTAATATTTTTTAATTGCCCATTTAAATTTTGCTCTAAATTATATTATGTATNCACCATATTTTGCGCACACCACACATCTTTTTTGAGGCTTTGCTTTTTTCCTTTGGCTGGAATACGCTCCAGGAAATGTCGTTCTGTGAATCTTTTAGGTGGAGGCTCAACTGACGGACGGCCGTATACAGGATGAGGAAAACCAGAACCGTGATTTTCCACGAGGCCTTGTGCTAGTGAAAGTCTGAACTTTAGCATGCCCATGTTTTTGTTATTCGGGAGACATGGATATATGACCATTGCTTTATGTATTGCTACATTGAGTAGCCTCTTGAATAACATCTGATACCACTTAGTACTCCTCTTTCGTTCAAGCAAGTATGGTTGTAGTATTTGATCCGTCAGATCGACTCCTAGCATGTTTCTGCTGTAATCACAAACAACCAAGGGCTTTGTTTCTTGTTTGTTTGCTTTATTCACAAACACATGCGTATCATCTTTGTGGTATGTTGATATCATAGTCACTCGGCCATCGTAAATGTGAGGTCAGCGTTCTATTTAGACTGACTGGCAGAGGTGCAGGAAATTGAAACATGAACAGAGAGCGCATTCTTTTCACAACAGCCCAGTGTAATCGTCATCATGCTGGTGTGGTTCGTTCAATATTTATGGGCCTTTGAAATTAAGCTTACAGCTTGGCATACAGTGTACGGCAAACCGCTGGTAGGACCATTTAAATACCAGCGTACTGTGTATGGCAAACCATGCTGAAGGGTTAAAATCTTTTGAAACTATGGGTAGAACAGTTCTGCCACATCAGAAGGCACCCTGTGTCTTAAATGGACATAATTTAGTGCTGAGATTATTGATTCTGCACAAGTGGAACTGAATACTGAACATGGGAAACATATACATATACAGGGGTCCTACTGCATACAGAGTGCCGTAATGCTGATTTTTTTGGTTTGAATATGGACACAGAGACAAATGGCTTCACTAAAAGTGAAAGGATTAAATTCATAACAAGATAATTCTCATATTGAACAACATAAATTTTCATTCTCTTCTTATTCAACATCTGATATCTGCTTACTTACCGGTATGCAACCGCATGTGCATCTTCAATGTGCTACGTGAGGAGGCAGAATAGCCACAGAAGTTACAAAGATGTGGCCGCAATTTACCATGGACATTATCCTTGTGAACTCGCAACATTCGAGGATTTGTAAAAGTACGACCACAGACATCACACTCTCCAGTTGGACCAGCTTTCTGCTTCTGTTTTGCCATATGAATTGCCTGCACCAAAACACAATTATAAACTCCTTATAAATTTATTTCATGCCTCTCACTAACAGCATTTGTATATTTCTTGATTCCTTAACTATGCTTTACTAACTGTATGAGTTACATAATGTCAAACAGAAGAACCATCATGTACAATGAATTAGAAATGATTAGGAGGAAACTATTTTTAGCTTATTTTAAGGTACTGCCTTGGCATGTTTCAGCACAGCCAGCCTTGCACCAGAATTCTAATTTGGTATCTCCAGAACATGAAACAGGAGAACTAACCACTACAATGCCAGAATTCCAATCTGGTATCTCGAGAACATGAAACAGGAGAACTAACCACTACAATGCCAGAATTCTAATTTGGTATCTCCAGAACATGAAACAGGAGAACTAACCACTACAATGAGACATTCTGTGTTAGAAATTTTCTCCCTTAGAGTTCATCACATTTATCTCAATGTAAAAGATAATAACTTCCATATTCATGACAACTTAGCAGTCCAAAATTTAAATTTACATCCGGCAAAAAAAAAAAAGGGTAAAGCTTTCCCTATAATTGGCTGTGAAGGCCCATAGGGTTACGAGATGGCAAGGCTCCCACATTTTCTCTAGACAGTCAGCTCGCAGATCGTGGTAAGGTTAGTGTCCATTTGTCTATAATCTGTTTAAATTGCAACACTTTTTATTTTACACTTCAATACACTCTCTACCACTACACGTTTCGGCCTCAAATGGTTTCTGCAGGTGTTTTTTCTACACAAACTACACGCTGTAGTCTTTAATTAAAAAGAAGACTACAGCGTGTAGTTTTTTAAAATGAATTGGAACAGTGAAATAGTGTAGCAGTTTCGACACAATTTTGACACAATCTTAATTGAATATCTGTAGAAAAAACAGCTGAAGATGGCCGTTTGAGGCTGAAACATGTAATGTTAGAGAGTGTATTGAAGTGTAAAATAAAAAGTGATACAATTTAGAGGGATTATAGACAAATGGACGCTAATGTGAACAATTGCAACAGGATGCTGAAATACAGAAGGTGGTAAGGCTGTCAGCTTTATGTGCTGGATGCCCTTTACCAGTCCAGGAAGATTCCTGGTACTCATTTTCTGTTAGAGGCTGAGTCAACCCCAGGACCATAGTGCAGTTGGAAGGATTAGGTAAACTGAAAGAAAATTCACCTCATTGGGACATGAACCCACAACCTTCTGGATTGTAGCATAGTACCTCAATCAACTATGCTACCACGTGCCACAATTAGCTTCTCGAGTGTACTAAAATTACCAAACAAAAAAAAATAGTAGTATGGTTTGCCTCAAAAGCAGAATCCAAGTGAGACGTATTACCATTGAGCCCACATGTTCAGCAAGATCCTTTAGAACTGTTCAAGTTGACTGTGCAAGAGAATCCAACGTTATAGGAAATGTATGTAACATGATCAATAAATGTGTCCTTCACATGTATGTTTACCTTATGATTACGCAACTGCTTTCGGTTCTTAAATCCCTTCCCGCAAGTATCACAGAGGAATGGACGCTCATCTCCATGGATTCGGCGATGCAGATTTATCAGTTTGCTGTAACTATAAATGAAGAATAAGATGAAATTAAGGAGTCATAAACTGTAACATTTCTTTCTTACGAACTCCCGTATAGTTTTCTGTTTAGTTTCTTGGGGTGGGGTGAGACTGAGTCCACGGCCTCCTTTACCAGCCCTGGATGTCAGAAGATGATGAGTGTGAAGCAATCAGTGGAATGAGAATTGGCAGGGGAAACCAAAGTACTTGGAGGAAACCTTTCCCAGTGTCACTTTGTACACCACAAATCCCACATGATCTGACCTGGGCTCAACACCAGGCCACTGCGGTGGAAGGCCGGTGACTAACTGCCAGAGCTATGGTATGGCCCAACTTCTGTATAACGAAGAACATTATACAATAAATAAAAGTATGGTTTCCAGAAAAAATAAATTTACACACATTTTTATCCAAAAAATAAATTTTCAAAAATGAAGTTCTGCTCATAAAATGAAATGGCTTCTTACATATTTTTTAACCTTCTTGCTGGAAGTAAAAAAAACATTAGTTGACTAATATTCATCTGGCAGTCAGACATATTAATCTAATGTTTCATTCCTGCACATATAAATAATTAACTGTTTATCTTCAGTGGATAAGTGTTGTCACCACCCAAATGGAAAGTTTTTATTCTTGCCTTCTATCCTATGCACACTCTTCCACAACATGTATTGGCCTCACACAGCCATCGTCAGGCGTACTCATCCTAAAATTGTTGCACTGTCACTTCAATTTAGTCATTTGTGGAACTTGTTCTTACTTTCAATACAAATCCTCTAAAATATATAAAATACTGGTACTTGTTGACTGCAGGGCACGAAGTAGCATAGTGGGTTGAGGCACTATGCTACAAGCTGGAGGGTCGTGGGTTTGAGTCCCGATGAGGTGGATATTTTCAACTGACCTAATCCTTCCAGCCACACTATGGCCCTGGGGTCAACTCAGCCTCTAACAGAAATGAGTACCAGGAATCTTCATGATGGGTAAAGGGCAGCGGGCGCGTAAAACTGACAACCTTACCGCCATCTGTGAGCAGACTATCTAGAGAAAATGTATTGTCTCTGAGAAAAATTTTTCTTCCATTCCATTCTGTTCCTCTATCACAATCTCTATGAATCTTACAGCAATAGTGTAAGACTTTGCAGCTACTGAACCAAGGAAAACTAAATACATTCAGTAAATGTTTGATTAGGCACTGAGACTGAGCTTTGTGGTCAAGTGGGAACCACCCCTGCTTTGTATTCAGGTCATATGAGACCAGCTATCATGACTAAATAGTTTCTTCAGTCCTTCATGCAAATGAAAGGGTAGTACTCGTACTTCAAATAATAAATGCCCACTTCCTTCTACATCCTGTCCAACTGAATATTCACCAACCATCATATCACTGACACCACATATACTACAGTATTGATAGCATCATTAAAAACCATAAGCAAAAAATTAATAAATAAACACTGAGACTCAAGCAGTAAACATATTCAAACTGTAGTCAGTCACCAGGAAACAAATTGTGGAAACAGTACATGGGTTGAAAACATTACACATGACCAACAAGATGTATTATATTACAATAGAAGTATTGTATTATAATGGCATAAATGTTCAATTTTAATACCTGGGCTTAAATTGTAGCCTGTTCGCTAAATACTATTGGAAGTTATCACCTGAACATTAAGTTTACCTCTATTACATGGACCTAACACAGACCAACTAACAGAAAAGAGACAATGCACAATGAACATCACAATTTGTACCCAACAGCAAATATTATTTTGGCGATCAAGAAAGAAGTTAAGATGGACAGGTCATATGGAGCACTTAGGAGGGATGAGAGAAGGATACAAAATATTACTCGGAAAACATGAAGACAGGGGAACAGCTGAGGGATATAGACAGATGGAAGGAAAATAGTAAAATAAATTTAAGAAAATACAGGCATGAGGATGTGATCTGAAATCAATGTATCTCAGCACAGGAATCATTGGTGGGCTATTGTGAACAACAGTAATAAACATTCAGGTTCCATAAAAGTCATGACTAGCTTAGTGATTATTAGTTCTCATGAAGAACTCTGCTCTATACAGTAGATTAATTATATCCTTATATATACAGTACCTGTTTGTTTTATAACTGCACTGGTCGCATGCAAAGAGTTCCATGTCAATCACATGGTAACGCCAAAGGTGAGTGCTGAGTGACTTCCAGTGGACTGTTTCCTGTGAGCATTCAGGGCACAGAAACTTCTCATCATGGTGGCAACGACGATGGTACTCAATGTTGTCATGAGAACGCAAACGGACTGCACAACCATCTATATCACATCTATTTAAAAAACATGCACAAAGCAGTTTACATCACATATTTCAGTAAGCACCGGCCCATACAAGAAATAATATCTGTAACATAATAACACATTTATCATTATGACAGAAAATTAAACTGAATATGAGCCAGTACAGATCAGCTAGTACAATGGGCTACAGGCTGGATGGTCAGGGTTATATTCCCGAAAGGAGCAAGAGATCTTTCTCCGCTCCACAGCATCCAGACTGGCTTTGGGATCCACTCAGCCTCCTATCCAATGGGTAATGGGCACTCTTCCCCTGGGAGGAAAGTGGCCAGGGCGTAAAGCTGATCACTCAACTCCATCTAGTACTGAGGTCAATAAAAGTGGAGCTACACCTCCACTCTCCAACATGTCTTTATTGTGTGGTGCTTAATTAAGCATAGGGCTAACTTTACCTTTGACTTTAATAAGAGCACTCAAAAACCTAAATAAACAGACATCTTTTACTAACAGGGTAACAGAATTTCTACCCATAGAAATGTTTGACGTATGCAAACAAATGAAAACTTGAATGCATCAACCCTTGCACTATTATTAATGAACACTTCCACTCGCATTATAAGGAGAATTATTCTGCCTGATATACAGACCAAAGTAATGTATACTTGTTATTTTGAGAAATATTATACAGAGAACAACAAAATATAGATAAAAGAATATAATACTGGTATACCTATACATGTAAGGATGTAGACTCTGATTCCCAAATTCCAACAGTCTGGTGAATATAAGTCGATGTATTCATACTCTCTTTAACAGTGGAAGTGATAAACATTATTATTACATTTATATTGTAGCATGCAGACCAGCTGCAGGCCAATGGCAGCAAGATAAGCAAATATGTAAGAGCTGTTGCTGAGTGACAGCTTATACATGCCCCCACGGAAATGACTGAACTACAATAATGAGGTGCAGTGTTTTCTGTCTGATCCATGCCAAGATGTTACAAGCAAGAAAAGCTGGGAGCTGCAGTTAGTAAGTTAGTGAAGAAAAGAGTAGAAATTTGGTGTGAGATGGCTGCCAGCCTGGGAGTTAGTCAGTTGTAGAATATTTGTCAGCTGGCAAGGACATAAGCAGGGAATGCTGTTAGGATCCAATACCAGGAAATGACTAGTGAAGACATACAAGACTTTATGTGAGCTGAAGTTACAGTGATCTTTACAGTGTGTAAACCAGTGAGATTATTAATAGTTACCTGTAATTACAAGTTGTGTGTATAAGTGTTCAATAAATCCAATTATCAATCCAAACCCTGTGATAGCCATGCTCTATCACACGACATATGGTGTCAGAAGTGGCTGGAATGGAGATTGGAGTAAAAAGCTATATTGCAACACTATGGAGATTGTACAAACGATGTCATGCCTGCTGGTTGAATTGGAAACCAACCAAGCCAAGACAGATGCCAATCTAAAGGTAATGAAAAATGATAGCCAGCTACAAGGAGTTGATGGCAGTAATGAACGCTGGCCACAATGAGTTTATGGCGATAATAGAAAACAACCAAGAAAAGATGATGGCCAAGTTCATGGACCATCACAAAAGGATAATGGCAAGGATGGACTCCCAGCTAGAGAAAATGGACACTATAAATTTGGAGACCAGTCGAGAAAATTGGGAGGCTGTAGCAGAGCAGCAGGATGTCCTTTAAGGATGGGACTGCAGTTAAAACTATCAGAGCACTGGTGGACCAATATGGGGTCTGGCACCTAGCCCTAAGAGGCTGCCATCAGCCCAAGAAACAGAGCAAGAGTGACGGTGGGTCTTGGCAGAAGTTGGCCACTGCTAGAAGACTTAAGACCCACTGTGCAGGAATGGTATGGTATTAGGGGCTCAGTCATAAACAACCGGTGGTCGAGAGAAGATAGAACAGCTCAGAATGCAACAATGGTATAAGACACTGAGGCCTGAAACAGCAGCTATGCCTGGGAAGGAAGGAGACATTTTACAAGGGCCTTGGACAAACCAATGGGCTGGAGATCACAAAGAGAATAGGTGGATCATCCATCATGATTAAAAAAAAAAAGAGTATCAAGATATTGTGGAGGAGCTGGTCACCATCCAAACAGAAGAAGAGATGACTGGCAGCTTATGAGCCAAGATGTAGGAGCATTGACCAAGCTCAAAACTCGGATAATGTTAATACACCTGGACCAACTGGCACCTTATGAGGGAGCCGCTCAAGATGAGCAGCCTTGAGGAGAGAGCAATGGGAGCAGTTGGAGAGCAATCACTGTGAGAACCGAGCCATGAGGAGGAAGACAAGACCGATTTGTGACAAATAGCCTGAAGGAGGAAGCAATGTCACATGTAGACACGTTGCTGGGCAATGACCATGAGATAAGCAAATATATAAGAGCTGTTGCCGAGTAAGGGATTCACAAACTAACATGTTCCTATGGAAATGACTGTACTACAGCAATGAGGAGTGCAGTCAATGCCAAGATGTTATAAGCTGGTGAAGTTTGAAGTTGCAGTTAGTCCATGAAGAGAAGTGTAGAAGGTTGGTGTAAGATGGACGCAAACCTGGAAGTGAGGTCTGTTGCAGCAATGTGGTGGTGGTGGTGGTAGTGGTGGTGCCGATGGCAGGGGTGATGGTTGGTACAACTGCAGAATACACAGAGATACTGGGTTTTCAGACTTTGTCCATCGTCTGGATTCTAAATACCTAAGAAAAAAAACACGTTTCAGAAACTGAATCTGTTTCCGTCCTCAGGTGAGGGAAGATACCTACTCTCTGTTGGGTCCCTTAGAAAGAGCTAGCCTCAATCACTGGACAATTGAGGTACCCAACAGAGTAGGTGTCTTCCCTCACCTGAGGACGGAAACAGATCCAGTTTCCAAAACAACATGTCTTTTCTTAGTTATTTAGAATCTGGACGATGGATAAAGTCCAAAAACCAAGTATCTCTGTGTGTTATACACCATCGTCAGAACCCTATAGTATCTAACTGCAGAATAGTTTGTCCACATGTGTGCGCATATGCATGTGTTTGTGTGTGTGTGTGTGTGTGTGTGTGTGTGCATATGTGCATGTGTGAAGGAGAGGGCAAGCATGTGTGTATGTGTATTTTATAACCAGCAATCTGAAGTAGCAAATTTCTTCAGCAAGGCCACAAACTCCAATTTTTCTGTGCCAAAGATCTGTTTGCCATGCAATAGCTTCAGTAAATATTTACAGAGGCCCAGGTTCAATTCCAGGGCAGTCAATGTGATGTTTAATGGAAAAATTAGTAGTGGTTACATTTTTCTCAAATACTTCACTTTTTTTCCTACCACTTGTCATTTCACTAATGGTCCAGTAATCTTTCTCATCACCTCTGGCTAATACAAAAGACTGATTTGAGGCAGAAGTACTATGGGATTCAGCCTCACCTCTCTTCTGTGATAATCCTTATTAATGATTTGTTGTCTGCTTAACCTTCAAACTGCAGTATGATGTCAAAGTTTATAAAGCAAAGCTTATTAATATTGAGACGGATACTGTAGTGTGATCTACAATATGTAAATGTAAATGTGCATCAAGGGAGCTGTGTGCTTTCACATTTAATTTCATTATAACAGAATGTAATGCCAGATGTTTACACAGACAGGTTGGCAGGAAATGATGTTATGTAAAATTAAAACTTCTGTTACTTCTACATTAATTATGATACTTCAGCATTTAATATTAAATCTCATTCCACCAGTTTTTAAAACAAAATTCACAGAAAAAGTTAAAACTTCCCTGCACACATAAAAATCAAGGCCTTGAACAAAGCATGAGTCAACAAATGAAAAAAAGCCATAACAGTTCTGGTTTCGTTTAACGTGGAGCTCTTCCATGGTGTGGTGTCTTTATGTAAGGGACATTTCACGTTTTACTTTCATTCTCAGCATTAATTGTTGTTGGCTTGTCTCTTTATGAGTGGAAAGAACCATGATCAATGAGCATTAATATATTCCATACAGTGGGTTACACAATAGATCAAAGATGGTTATGTTGCAAATGTCATTGAATGCCCACTCCTTTAATCTATTATACATACATATTTATACTTTAGTAAAATGTATGAGCACCTGATGAGTGACACTTGTTTTAATAGTGAGTTGAGACATTCACCTAGTCCTGTTAATGTTCATGCATCATGCTGCCATATGATAAAGGACCACAAACCTATAACCTAACTCCTTCTCCATGAGTTCCTTCTGTGCAGAAGACAATTTCTGATATCCATTAGCAGGGATGTTCTTAGAACCTTTTGGCCGACCTGGTTTCTTCTTAGCTAATGGAGACATTCTTTGGTTAGACTTCAGCTCATTTCTCTGCTCCTTCTGACCCAATGAATTACCTGCTGCATTACGAACTACTATTTCAGAAGTGACTCCAGGTCCAGCTACTGGTTCTGTATCAGTCTTGATCATCTGGATAAGAATAACAGGGTTAATGAATTAATGATCTGTAGTAGTGTTTATAAACTTAACCACAGCATATTTCATATTCCTCACTTCAGCACTTACGAGGGTGAGTCAAATGAAAACTGTAAAATTCTTTTAAAATTTAATTTATTGAATGAAAGTGGTACACAGCTATATCATTTTTCTACACAGTCTCCATTTCGTTCAATACAGGCACTCCAGCGTTTACAAAGTGTATGGATTCCTCTAGAAAAAAATTCTTGTGGTTGTCTGTGCAACCACTCATGCACCACCTGCTCTACCTCTTCATCAGAACAGAACTTCTTTCCTCCCATCGCCTCTTTGAGTGGCCCAAACATGTGGTAATCACTTGGGGCTAGGTCTGGTGAGTATGGTGGACGTGGAAGGCACTCAAAGTGCAAGTCTTGGATTGTAACAACTGTTGCACAGACAGTATGGGGCCAAGCACTGTCATGTTGCAAAAGGACACCTCTAGTCAAAAGTCCACGTGGCTTTGATCTGACTGCAGGTCGAAAATGATTCTTCAAGAGATGTGGTGATAGTGCTCCAAGAGTATGCCTCATTCATCCCAAAAGAGAGTCAGCATAATCTATCCTGCAGATGGCTGCATCTGGAACTTCTTGGGTTTTGGTGATGAGGAATGATGATGATTCCTTGCTTGTTCTCTTTGTTTTCGGTTGGTGGTAGTGCACCCAAGTTTCATCGCTAGTAACAATTCTCGAAAGGAAGCCATCACCTGCTTCAAGGTGCCACAGAAGTTCTTCACAGGTGTCAACATGTCGTTTCAATTCTGGAGTCAGCAGCCATGGCACCCACCTTGTAGACACTTTGTGAAACTGGAGCACATCACGAATAACATTGTGTGCTGATCTGTGACTCATGTTAAGAATTTCGGCTATTTCATCCACCAACACTCGATGATTCTCCATCACTAGGGCTTCAACTGCTACAACAGACTCAGGGGTCACAACACTGTGAGCCACCTGACCCAGGAGAGGAGCGTCTGCCACAGATGTCACACCATTTCTGAATTTCCTACTCCACTCGTGAACTTGCTGCTGTGACAAGCATGCATCACCATACTGAACCTTCATCTGTCGATGAACTTCAGTCGGTTTCACACCTTCACCAATCAAGAAATGAATTACAGAACGTTCTTCTTCTTTTGTGCATGTACGTAGTGGAGCAGCCATTTTCAAACCGGCACTGTGATGGCGTTCTGTTTGTCTGCATTATACTGCCACCTATAGTATACTCTTTATAGCATTGGCAACATGTCTGCCAAACTTATAGGAAAATGGTATGATATTTCAAATTTTTATCTCAGTTTTACGGTTTTCATTTGACTCATCTACGTAATAACAGCAGCAGCAACAGTTAACAATAATCTACATTTATTTATTTCAACATCAACATACTTATTCAAGCCCCTGGGTATATGTTTTGGCATATCAAGGGTGCCAGCACATAAACAGAAGCTAGAAGTTGCCCTATATCTTACAATACGTGGGGAAGTCATAAAATTTTAATTATCACCCAGAAGAAACAGAGACACAGATGAACGAAACTGTATGTGAGTTAGTCCTTTTCTACATATGACCCTTGCAAGGCCACACATTTTTCCCAATGATGCATTAGCTGCTGGATACCTTGATTATAGAAGGTCTCATTTTGACTGTTTAGGAAGTCCTCCACTGCAGAAATGACATCATAATCGCCTTGGAATCGCTAATCACAAAGTGGCCTCTTCAGTCATGGAAAGAAGTTGCTCGGTGACAGGTCTGGCCAATGTGGTGGATGGGGGAGAATTTCATATCTCAAACTGGCAGCAAGTGTCGCTGTAGCATGAGCAGTATGAGCCGGGGCATTGTCATCAAGAGTGTCACACACCTTTTCCCAGCATTCCGCATTGCATTTTCTTGATTTCCTCCCATAATTTTCTCAGAAGGTTCCGGTAGTACTCACCAGTGATGGTGATGCCCTTTAGCATGTAGTTGGTTATGATGACACCCTGCCGATCCCACAACACGCTTGACATCACCATTCCTGACAACAGCTGGGATTTGGCCTTTTTTGGTGGCAGCGAGTCTACATGTTTTCACTGCTTGCTCATTTCCTTTGTTTCAGGGTCATAATGATAGACCCAACATTCATCCATCATGATCAGGTGGTCAAAAAATTCCACCTTTTCGTCTTGACACAACTGCAAAAGATTCTTTGCCACATTCACCCATTGCTGTTTTTGAACTGGTGTCAACAATCGTGGCACCCAACGTGCAGCAACCTTTGTCATGTGTAACTTGTTGGATGATGTTGAAAACTGACCCATGGCTAATGCAGACCTCATAAACAACAGCTACGATAGTTACACACCTATCAGATAGCATCAAAGCTTCCATCTGTACCACAATTTCCGGTTCCTCAGTGAGAGGTGGTCTTCCACTTCAGGGTTCATCTTTGAGATTCATCTGTCTGCAATGAAAGCGCCTCTTCCACCAGACAACTGTGCCATATGATGGTACACCTTCCTGATACACAGCGGTCATCTGGTCGTGGGTCTCCCTGGCAGACTTCCCTTGCAAATGCTGGAACCATATCATAGCGCGAGCCTCCACTTTCTCAACCAATGTCACCATTTTGCTTCTGCCCCTTCCAGTGGCTCCCTCTGTCCACTTGGCATGGGAAAATTTGACTGTTCGGCAAGCTCAGGAAATGGTCTCCTATATATAACGATATTTTGGAATTATGATTTTCTCACGGTGGTAATTAAAACATTATGACTTCTCATCATATAGATATATTTTTTTGCACACTTATTTTACATGATCTGCAGAATTTGAAATAAATGTATATGTTCAATAAGTAACGGCTCATAAATGAGTTATGTTCAGTGGTATAACTCACATATTCTTACTATACATATACAAGGTGGTTCAAATATGACCAGGATTGATTTGTGTAAACAAGCTGCACTGCGCAGCAGCTGTGTGACCTTGAGAGAGTGAAGCCACAACCTCCACCCTCCCTCCTGTTTGGGTTAGAACCTGTTTAGTCCTGTCTGGGAGTTGCTAGAGTGATGAGCGAACAGAAGGTACTGTGGAGTGTGGAATACCGCATTGTGATCAAATTCCTCATTGGAGAAAACGTCCTGTCCGCTGAAATTCACCAGACTCCAACAACAGTATGGGGAAGAGTGTCTCTCATTGACCACTGTGTTTGAGTGGTGTAAGTGCTTCAGAGAGGGAAGAGTGTCTCTCACAGACCTGTGTTTGAGTGGTGTAAGTGCTTCAGAGAGGGCAGAGAGCACGTGGAGAATGAACCGCATGATCGTCGGCTGCAAACATCCATCACCAAGCCAAACATTGATCGTGCAGACGTGCTTATTCATGAGAATAGGCGCATCACTATCAAGGAAGTTGGAGTAATGCTGTCCATCAGTGTTGGAAGTGTAGAAGACATCGTGAAATACCACCTGCACTATCGCAAGGTGAATGGATGGTGGGTACCATGCATTTTGACAGACATGAACAAAACGGTGCACGTGCAAGCTGCTAGTCATCTCCTACAGCAGTCTGAAGATGAAGGTGATGTATTTTTAAGTCTACAGCGACCACCGATGAAACGTGGGTGCACGACTTCATTCCCGAGTTCCAGCAGTGATCACTCGAGTGGCAGCATACCAGTTCTCCAAAACCCAAGAGAGCACAGAGGAGCCATTCGGCAGGAAAACTGATGGCAACGTTCTTCTTGGACTGGCAGGGGGTTATCCATGTAGACTTTCTGACAGATGCCAGAAGGGTCAATGCAGCTTATTACTCAGACCTCCTGGCAAAAGACGTGAAGGAAAAGTTCCGATCCAAGCGGAAGATAGGTGGAAAGTGGATAACCTTCCTTCAAGACAATGCACGCCCCCATACGGCCAAAACAACAATGGAAACCCTCCGGAAATTGAAATGGAACCTTCTGACACATCCGCCATACAGTCCCGATTTGGCCCAAGCGATTTCTACCTGTTCGGAAGGCTCAAATCAGACTTGCAAGGCATGCGGTTTGTGGACAACACCATCATCCAGACTGTTCGGGAGTGGATATGCCGCCAACCATAAGCCGTTTTTGAAAAGGGCATCAGGACGCTTCCAGAAGGTTGGAAAAAATGTGTTGACTCCAGAGGGGAGTACGTTGAAGACTGAGATGTGCAAGTAAGTGTTTAACAATTATGGTTTTTAAAAGATATCAGTCCTGGTCATATTTGAACCACCTTGTATTTTTTTATTGCTAGTGGGGTGGGACTAAGTCCCTTGTACTGCGGCCACTTCTGGCCTATTGTACCAGCCCCAGATGATAGGTGAGGGTGACTGTGGAGAAATTGGTGGAATGAAGATTGGCAGGGGAAACTGAAGTACTCAGAGAAAACCTGCCCAGCGCCACTTTGTCCACCACATATTCCACTTGACCAGACCCGGAATCGAAACTGGGCCACTGCAATGGGAAGCCAGCGACTAACCGCTTGAGCTATGGCGCAGCCTACTATACATATAAATACAAAATGGTTTGATAACAATGTTTTAAGAGTATGGATCAGTCTATATTTAACATGTAATGATGGATCTCGTGAAGTGCTGAAAAACATAACCAAGTGCATTAAAGAAGGAACACATATTCATGGAAATAAGAGTACTATTTTTCTGTTATAATCAAAAACATTATGTTACAAATTAAGCTTGTAGTCATCACTGCAAAAGACAAAACCAAATCTAAATTTAATGCTGTAATTCTAAACAAACCCCTTAATAAAAATCAAATACTTTTCTAAGACCTACCATCACATGACATTTAAGGGAAATGGTTAAAAGGACCAGGAGGAACACATACAGATACATAAATATAATGATATTGTAAGGCAGGGGTTCCCACTTCGTATTACCTCATAAATCTCTTTTATGACAGACCAAAATGCTTGATACCTCTGCAAAAATTATAATGTGAGCTGCATGCATGCCAGATACCCACATGGCCTTGCCAACGTCCTGAACTTCCATATGGTGTTTCAAAAGACATTTCTCTTCTGAAAGGAAAGGAAGCTATTGCATCCAGCCACCTGAACAATCCCAATGCAATTGGTGGAGGTAACGTTTTTGTAAAACAAACAAATACAGCACCACTAACCATAAAATTGTTTCTGGTCTGTGCTGGTTTGTCCTGAAACAATGTCTGAGGAAACCTTTCATTATGAATTTTTCATACCTCTTAGGGGATTGAAATCACAAATAAGAAAATAGGACTTACGCCTTATACAGTATGTGCCAAAAATACAGTACTGAAACTCGCACATCTCAAACATGCATGTGCGTTTGTTGATGGGGTATAGCTCCAGCCGCACGTATTCACAGTAGTGAAAAGGAAGTTGTGTTGTGCAGTTGTTGGAAATGGGTCTCTCGACAGAGGAAAAAGTATTCATAGTTGAGTATTATTCCCGCTCATATGGAAGTGGTCACCAGATAACTCGCTTCCTTGGTTTTGAGCGGCCAGATGTTATCGTCCAGAAACCGCTACATAGTACACGTGTGACGATATGGTGTGCCATTTCAGCACATGGTATATTAGGCCCCTATTTCATTGAGGATGAGGAACGCAATGCTCTTACCATCAACCAAGAATGCTACAGGGACATGGTGATCAGACCATTTCTTCAGGACTTGAGAAGGTTCTGTTGGGCAAGGGGCCTTCACATGAATAGGTAGCAGTATCAAAAGGACGTCTTTTCATTTCAGTACTGTATATTTTGGCGCACACTGTATAATATGAAAATTAAGCTAAAGGTGCATAAGTATAACGAAAATATGCTATGGAAGGTTGTTCATTTTCTGAAATTTAATAATTTACTGCTTATCATTTCAGTGACATGTTATTTTCACAAACAAATGTGCAGCATCAGCTGAGTTTCATTATATATGTAAATTATTTCTTATTACCTTAAACTCACAGACATCATCCACTGTTATCTTTGCATGCTTCTGCTGTGTCAGATGATTGTCATCTATGACCAATGTTCCTTCCCTCACATCACCATCAGATGCACCATTGCTAATCAGACTGTCTTCATTCCTAACATCAGTAACAGCAGTGGTGTCAGAATGAGACACAAGAGTGTCCTCAAGCTCAGGCAGCACTTCATTGTTCAAGTTCCTCACTCGGATCTTGCTGCATTCATCAAGCATCATGTCAGTAGCTGAACAGTTAACCTGCCTGACACTGTTGGTAACACTTGGTACCTCTTTACCATCACTGCATTCATTGTCAACAGGATTCAAAATTTCAAGAGGGTGAGCTGTAGCTAAGCTTCTCTTTCTTTTCTTATCAAACTTGTTTTTGGCTTTGGCATCCTTATATGAAGACCTGATTACTACTTCAATTAATGTCCTTAACTCCTCATCTCCCACTTGGTGATCTTGTGAAAGATGAACCCTGAGAGACTTTGAAGTAAAGAAAACATTTTCGCATCCTGGGCATTTGATGTTGTGCCTGGTTTCCTGTTGATTACCTGGTAATTGTGAAATATGTACAAGCTGAACATGCATTGCTACTCCTTCCTTTTCAAGTGTAAGGAAAGAGCAAAATTTGCACTTGTAACAAGCAACTTGTTCTACATAACTGTCCATTTCCACATTTTTGATGTTTTGCTTCTTTGTTTCTTTAGTACACTTAGCATTTCTATACTCATTGTTGTCTTTCCCATTATTAATATCCTGAAGTCTACGTTTCTTTGATTCTTTATCTCTAAGTCCATCAAATCCAGATTTATTAACTTTCTGATTTAGAGAATTTTCAAAGTTTTCTTGCTTGATGAACACTGAAACAATACGCTGTTCACGATTCATATCACTAACACGGGAGCTTGTAAAAGATTCACTTCCATGTTTTGGTATATGAAGCTTGGAACTTACGTTGCTTTTATTCAAACCAGTAGTTATAGGTTCATTAGGAGCCAAATTAAGTTTAGGAACTATCCTAGGATACATGGATGCTGTCTGTTTAAGAGTACTTGAGTCAATATCTACAGGACCAATTACCCTCGGATTTACCTCAGCCTGATGTTTGATGACGGCATTTTCATCTGATACCTGAATGCTATCTATGGAAGGTAAATTTGAAACAGAAGCCTGTTTTTCTGGAAGTGAAACACTTGGCGACAAAGAAGCTGTATCAATACCAGAATTTCCATGTGTGTGGTTTAAAAGATGTAAGTGGTGCTCCATTAACCTTCCACACCCTGCAAGATGGATGTCATCTGCAGCACTCATCACTTTGTTATGCTGGGGTTCTATATTAATGTTACAACCCAACTCCACTGTGTGGCCCAACTCCAGATCTTCTGTCTGTGTTAGAGTTGATACTTTATCTGCAGATGATGATAGGTGCATTACCTGCAATAAATACAACCAGAAACTGCTGAAAAAAGACAATCTCAATTCAGTTGAAAGTCACTAAAATTAATTTTCATGTTATAAAAATCAATTCAATGAGAAGAACTTGTCAATGGTAACAGAACTTTGGTTAACAGAGCAGAATATGTACTTTGGGAGATGAGCGATCTATTTGTTTCTATTTTAGGCAAGTTTGAAATGCTGCAGAATGCATAGTAAATTCATTCAGTCAGTCCACCTATCCAGCCCTCTGTACACATTAAAAAACTCTGGGAATCCTTGGATGGATTTCATTAAATTTTACATTGGAGAATTTTAAAAGAAACTGTCAAATTATTTTTTATTTTCATTTAGATTGGGCACATTTAACGATCAGTTTCTATGAAGACCCACATGCTTCACTGAATATACGACACTAAATAATTAGTAGAAAGAAATACGAGGTCTGACAATAAAGTTTGCAAACTTGCCACCGTGAGATTTCCGGGACAGCAGTGGACAGAAACCTCTGTATGGTTTGATGACATTGACATATCAGTGTTTAACAGATGTGTTGTTATTGATCTATGACAATCTCTTTCTCAGTGGCATCTATTATTGTCTGAGTGTGTTTTGGTGTGCTGTCACAAGAATGTCAGAGCATGAATTAGAGGAACAAATGAACCTAAAATTTCTTGTTAAACTTGGCAAGAGTGGAAGCAAAATCAGAGAGATGTTACTGCAAGTTTTACAGGGATAATGCTATGAAGATAACAGCAGTTTACAAGTGGGTGACAAGTTTCTGTGAGGGAAGAGGAAGTGCCACTGACGAAGAGAGATCAGGATGGCCAGCAATGAGCAGAATTGAAGAAAACACCGCAAAAGTTCATTAAATTGTGCACAAAAATCGTTGGCTGACCATCAAGAGTATAGCATAGCAAGTGAACATCAATAGAGAAACAGGAAAATATTAACCGAAGATCCTGACACAAGGAAGGTGTGCAAAAATGGTTCCAAAGGAGCTCAGTGAAGAACAAAAGCAAGAGTCGAAATTTGCCAAGACCTTTTGGAGAGGCAAGATGACATTTTGGGCCATGTCATCACAGGTGATGAAAAGATGCATCTATCAACTGTCAGACCACATATGTGTCAAAAAGAAGCTGTTGTGAGAGCTGAAATTCACTTTTTACTCCCAATATACTTTCTCCACAAGTCTTACAGTTTTTAAAGTAATTAAAAAATTGTGATATTAGGAGTATAATCTAAAACTTTGATCTTCAACAACCAACCATGGCCTCTACAACACAATAAAAGCCAAGAAGAAATAAATAAAAGAAACTTGTTATTGAATTTAGAGAACACCAAAATCAGGTATCTTTCATTTTTTTTTTTCAATTTTGTGCTCTATTACTAAGCTGCTCTTCTGGATCAGATTTCTCCACATTCTTGTTATCTGTTATTCAGTCCAGCCTGTTTTCTTTTCTTCTTTAACCCTCAGTTGTGTGCATGTTGTCATGTTACACGATTTCCAACCTATCAGCATTCTCTTTTCCCTTCTGGCTTGATGGTTTGCCTGAGTGTACCCTGACAGCCCTTCTTTGTTGTTGGAAGACTTGGAAGATGGACACATTACAAATTCTGGTTCTATCTTTCTACATTGTGCTGTATTTATAAACCAATTCTGGTATTGTCCACCAAGATATTTTGACAGTGGGTGCCCTCATTGTTTTCTGTGTACTTAAGGTAAGATTTATATTTTTGCATATGATGATGTATATGTCTGTTATCTGTTATATTTATTTTCCACAAGCATGTTCAAAACTGAGTACAGTGAATAATACACCTTCTTGTTTCTGTGTCTGCTACTATAATCAGCTGGTATCATTAACCTTTATCGGACGAACGTCATCATATGATGTCGCGGATTCCACGCGTGTAAGGTATTTTTTTAAAATTAAATTAAAAATATAAATTGTTGT